TTAGGGTTTAAGGTTTAGGGTGTTTTCCGTACGGCCTTGATGTAGGATCCTGATTAAGAAACTCCGGCCCTATAGCTCCAATGCATTACGGCTCCTTTTGAACACCCTAATAAAAGCCCAGGGTTTCTTAATCAGGTTCCTACATGAGTGTACTAAAAGCTCGAAGATGGAACTCAGATATGGGGAGTTGTCAAAATTGTGGTTTGTTTTGGGGTGCCCTAAATAATAGGTGCCGTATTATAATGGGACCTTTTGACAAGCACCCATATGGAGGCCTGCCACGAAGCGAGTTCTGTTGGCTGTTGATACAGCCTGAGCCCAGGAGGTTGGTCTCTAAGCCTTCAAACCCTTCATCCCTACACATCCTGAACCCTAAACAGCCTAAACCCCTATTTAAACCCTAAACCTAAACCCCTAAACCCAAAACCCCTATGAACCCCTATATACTTCAAACCCTAAACCCCGAAACCCTTGTCATGAGAGAAACAGATGGAGCCATGGATTCGACTCCTTCCGATGCAGCTGCAGCTGGTGCTGCTGCTGCAGCAAATCGACCCATCCGCGTTGAGCTCCGGAGTGCCTTGAAACTCAGATGTCCGAGTGTGGGTTTAGGCTTTGGGGTTTAAGGAAACCGTCTGAACCCTGAGCCCTACACCCTAAACCCTAACCCCTATACCCGAAGCCCTAAATCTTAAACCCTAAACCCCAAACCTTAAGCCCTAAATCTTAAACCCTAAACCCTAAACCTTAAGCCCTAAGTTTTAAGCCCTGAACCCTAAACCTTAAACCCTAAACACCTCAGGTGTGTTAAAGTGTTAAGAATGTCAGGTCAGAGTTTGTGTTCACGAAGCACAGGGTCGATGGATTAGGTTTCAGTATCAGGGTCCGGTAGTGTAGGGGCCTAAATAACTACCAATACGATATACATATATATATATATACACATACATATATATATATATATTGTTGTATTTTTTCGTTTTGATTATTATTATTATTTTTTTTGAGGGGGGGTGGTCCGTATTGTAACTACAGTACAATGGGCCCAAAGCCCTAGTCTAATGATTAAGGCCCCTACAGTAGGAGTGGTGGGTTGAGTTGAGCATTATGTTTAGCCGTGTTTTAGACCCCGAAAATACCTTGATGGTCGTAGGTTGCTGGACGAATACTTCAAGTCTCAGGATGCGAATAGCGCAACAAGTGCCATCAAGTGCTTGCATTGCATTCGCAAGTATTGCTAAATGTAGCTGCCCTCCTCATAACCCTACTTTGCACTACCTTGCTCCGTTAAGTCAGGAATGGGGATCTACTGTCTGAGCTTCAGCAGGAAGGACCATGTCGTGTGGCCGATCTCCAGTGTCATCTGGCCGCCAAGTTCTGCGATAACGTTCGCCCCACCTTGCTGTTCGAGGGCTCTCCCCTACCTTCAACGGATGTCCTTCAGGAGGATGTTTCTTTGGCCGTGATTCGTCGCACTTTGCCGGAAGAAGAGCAAGCCTGCCTTAACGCGGGTCGCGCAGCCATGTCCCATGTAAGGGCAGAGCACCTCCAACTCGTCAAAGATCTAAGAATGCCGCCTGAACCAATGCACCACGTACTGGCCGCGACCATGAGCCTGCTCCATCTAAGAGAGCACAACTGGGTGTCGATGAAAAAGTTCCTGTCTCAGAGAGGAATCGTCTCGAGGCTGATCGCCCTCGAGCCACACCAAGTGAGCTTCGACAGTCAGCTCGCCGTGCAAGAGATTGTGCATCGCCACTACAACTGCTTCAAGGACGAGGTCATCCGTCATTGCTCCATAGCTCTCGCTCCTTTCGCGACCTTGGTGAGGGCGTTCTTAGTGTGCTGGAAAGCGTGACTGCGAGCGGAAGAAGTTCGATGCCTGATTACGTTAGGGCCGTTAGGGTTTTCGGGCCCTTAAGCCCGAAAGACCCTAAGGCCTAGACCCGTAAATCCTAAACCCACACTCCTTTTAGGCATCTACCCGAGGCCTTAGACGCACTAAGCCCTGAGCCCGGCACCTTAGACCATCCCTTAGTTTTGTACAAGCAGCCGTTTGGCCCAAAGCTTCAAAAATGCCAAACCCCACCTTGTGTTGCAGGGTTTAGGGTTTAGGATTCAGGGTTTAGGGGTTTACGGGTTTAGGGTAGACGCCTGCATATTTTGAAAAGGGGTTTGGGAATATCTTGTGTACGATGATCTTTCCATGATCCTATTGGGACTATACGGGATATTCCAACTATAGTCGTCCAGACCCGTACAAGTTGTTGCCTCTCCCCATCATCACGGTTACAGCTTCGGAGTTTAGCAACCCTAAACCCTAAACCCCTAAATCAACACTAAACCCTAAGCCCCTGAATAAACACTAACCCTAAACCCTAAATAAAGCCTAAACCCCAAACCCCGAAATAAACCCTAAACCCATGTATCGGCATCGTCATGAACAGAGCTTCTGGTCTGAGGGGGTGGGGAGCTTCGGAATTTAGGACTACTTGTCTCTTTGAGGTTTAGGGTTTAGGGTGCCCGTAAATCTCAAGCACACAACTACAAGGCCCAGGACGATCCCGACAGTCCATCAGAGTAAACCTCCAGTTTAGGGTTTAGGGTTTAGGGTTTAGGGTTTAGGGTTTAGGGCTTCACAAGCTGGGAAGTTGCTAGGAAGTTAGCATAGCAGAGATCTGTAGTGGACTAGAGAGATCTATAGTGAATAGATATGGCTTCCTTATGATAATCTCTTACACATCAGGCTTCAGGACCCTCGAGCCCCGAAACCCCTGTTGAAGACATTTGAAATCTGGTGTTTTGTATATCCAAATACCCATGATAGCTCCTCTTTGGGATTACCTTATAGGATCCGCAATATATACCACAACAAGGCACTGTAATGGAGCCTATGGGTACAGCAACGACTACAACAAAGCTTTCGATTCTCAAGACACGTCAAGCCCTTCGAGCCTTAGCCTGACAACCTCCCTCCTCCAGTGGTGCGGGTAACCCAACACTGTATACTTAGGCCATAAAGGCCCTAAGCCCCTTAACTCCTTCACAAAAACCCTAAAGCCGTAAACCATATAAACCCTAAACCTCCAATCCCTGTAAACGGGTGCAGGATTGAGTACTCGAACCCCTCAGGCTCAAGCCTTCAAGAATGCAAACATGCAGCCCCAAGAGCTGTCTCAGCCATCTACATATCGAGCCAGGGGTGCAGGTGCAGGTTACCGCAATAATCATCGGTATGGGCTTTAGGGCTCACGGGTGTATGTTTAAGACATCGGGCCGGAGGCTTTCCTAAGCAAAATCCTCGTCGAGACTGGCAGCTCGACGCTTTGAATCCCAAATTCGTGAATTCATGAGTATTTCCGAGTAGGTAGCAGGTACTCTGCTCGTCCCAAGACATCATATCCGAGACTTCGATTAGCCTTCCTGGTTGTGGTTGTGGTAGCTGCTGTTTCCGCGCCGCGTTGCTAACTCCATAGAAGGTCCATAACCCTGCCAAGGTTTGCTTAGTCTCCCAGATTTGGAGGAAGCCTAAACCGTCGAACCCGGCAGACCCCACCAAGCAAACCCTCAATCGTGGACAGTCTTGTCGTGCGGGACATGGAGCCGCACCAGCCGACTCGTTCCCCTGCCGAGAATCGCTCCTTCCGTGTTGAGTTCCGGAGCGCGTTGAAACTTAGATTTCCAGAGGAAGCCAGTTTTGACGAGTGTAAGGATTATGGTCACAAGGCATTCTTCTTCTTTCAAACTTAGGTTTGAGGATCTGGTTTAGAGACGGCTGTGGACCGGTTCGGGTTTAGGGATTGCGGTTTAGTGGAATCGGGGTACGTTGTTTTGCGGTCTAGGGGACATGTTTCGTAATTTAGGAATACCACAGTCCCAAGAAAAGCTGTGCGGCAAAGTGTCAGCAGTAGGCTGCAACTGCCTTGCTGCAACCCTACTTTAAAGGCCTAAGTGGCATGCCTAAACCCTCAACGTAAAGTACTTTTTCCCATGAAGTCAGGAACGGGGATCTACTGTCTGAGCTTCAGCAGGAAGGACCATGTCGCGTGGGCGACCTCCAGTGTCATCTGGCCGCCAAGTTCTGCGATAACGTTCGCCCCACCTTGCTGTTCGAGGGCTCTCCCCTACCTTCAACGGATGTCCTTCAGGAGGATGTTTCTTTGGCCGTGATTCGTCGCACTTTGTCAGAAGCGGCCGCCTCTGGGTTGCAGGCTGCTCGCACGGCAGTTTCTAACGTCAAGCGCACTCAGCTGCAAGACCTCAAGTCTATAATCAAGCCAGCTGAGATGCTGCTGGACGTGATGGCTGCTATTCTGTGCCTGCTCGGTCACAGAGAGCACTCGTGGAATTCGATCAGGAAGCTGTTAGGAGGACGTGAACTGTTGTCAAGGCTTGTCGCCCTCGAGCCCAACCATGTAAGCTTCGAGAGCCAGCGTGAGGTTCAGCAGATTGTGGCGCAACATGCCAACAGCTTTAGGCACGAGGTCATCGTAAAGTACGCCACAGCTCTCGCGCCCTTTGCTTTCTTGGTGAGGGCTTTCCTAGAGTGCTGGGAAGCCTGACTGCGTACCGGAAAAATTCATGATGCCCGGTGGCGTTTGAGGCCCTAAACCCTAAACACCTAAACTCTAAACCCTAAACCCTAAACCCTAAAATTTGAGGGTTTGGTCTTGGGCGCCTCGCCTCAGCTTGCAGGACGACCCTCGAGGGTGGCATGCACAGTGGTCATGTTTGTAGGTACCCAGCATACCAAAGGCCAAACATGTCTCTAAACAGCTACTGACAGAGATACATGCGTTCGTGTTCATGTGTGTACACACATGTTGATTCGTACACATAGTTGTTTATATAATTCTAGCGCTCACATGCAAGCTAGGAGCCAGCGTTGACCTGTAGCTTCATGGCACAGGACTTTGCCATTTTGCTTGCATAAAGGCAAAGTTGACATATGGCTCACATGTCCGCAAGGCTAGAAGCTTGAATATGTACCAGTAGCATTCTGCAGGGATCCTTTCTAGAAGTACAGTATAATACGCCGCCAAAAGCCCTATTCCTATACTACGGGCTCAGGGCTTCTGGGCTTAGAGTTCTTTCTAAAGCCTGCCGGAATGATCGGGGGAGACGTGTACAGTCCAGAAGTTGAATCTCCCGCGGGAGCTTTGGGAAGAGCAGGTCTAGTTTCAAGAATCAGATAGGGCCGTCGACGTTGAGGGATGTTTTGGGTTTAGGGTCTTCTGTGTGGCTTCTGTAACCAAGCAAACCTGCTTAGAACCAGCCCCGCCGTCCCCTATAGTCTATAGTGGTTCCCATATCCCATCCTGGCCCTACCTATAGTCTCCATTGTAGTTCCTTTTTTTGGTTTAACCAGTTATATATTCAGGATTTTATAAGGTATCCCCCAAAAGGAACTACAATGGAGACTATAGGTACTTGCTTGTTACCAAGTCAAAAGAGTGCCAGCCCCAACAATCGCGAAGTGCTTGAAGCCCGACAGCGCTCCAAGAAGAAGTCCCCGAGATGTTCAAGCCCAAGCAGCAAACCGAAACCCTAAACCCTAAACCCTAAAACCCTAAACCCTAAACCCCTAAACCCCTAAACCCCTAAACCCCTAAACCCCTAAACCCTAAACCCTAAACCCCTAAAACCCAATCATGCACACACTTATCCGGCTCCGGGTTCTCTGGGTTTTGTCTGGATGAACATGTTTCTGGGTCTCGGATTTGTGTTTTATTAGGGGATTTAGGATCTGGGGCTTTCTACGGCTTCGATTCTGCCTCTAGTCTTCATTGTAGTTCCTTCTTTGTTGTTAGCAGCTTGTATATGAAGGATCCTCTAAGGTAAACCCCAAAGAGGAATTACAATGGAGACTACAGGTAAGGCTTCGGAACCGGAGTGTGGGCCGGAGCTATGAGCTCTTCAAAATTGGTTTAGGGTTTAGGGTTTCGGGCTTGGAGCTTGAGACATAGGTTGTCGCGCCTCCAAGCTGGGCGAAGAGAGCATCCGAGTTTCTGATCGAAGAGCCTGGGTTTAACCCGTAAAGATAAGCAGGTGTAGTTCTCAGAAGGAGCCCCTAATTTAGGGGTTGCAAATCACCAACATTACTCCTTGGGTTCTTCATATATTCATAATTATGCCCATAGGCTCCATGGTAGTTGCTTCTTGTGGTTTATGTCTAGGATCCTATAAAGTAACCCCCCCACAAGGAACTATATACAATGGAACCTATGGGTAATGACGACAACAACCACTCAACAACCTTAGTCTCATTTTCCAGGCCCCTAAACCCTAAACTCTAAACCCCTAACCCTAAACCTCTAAACCTTGAACCCTGAAACCCCTAAGCCCTAAAACCCAAAACCCTAAACCCCTAAACCCTAAACCCCTAAACCCCTCCGTATGATCTAAACCTTACGTTGCCACGGATTCTCGGGGGGGGCTACAAAAGCAAACGGAGTGTAGGGCTTAGGGTTTTAGGGTTTTGGGTTGAGGGTTTTGGATTTGGGGTTTAGGGGTTTTCAGGGTTTAGGGTTTAGGGTTCCCTAAACCCTAAACCCTAAACCCACGGTTTAGGGCTTCAGGGTTTTAGGGTGTGGGGTTTAGGGTTCAGGGTGTCGACTCCCCCCCCCCTTGGGTTTAGGGTTTAGGGCTTTTGCAGCATGTACAGTACTTCCGGGGTGGGTCTCCCAGAGAATGACATGGAGGTCGGAAAATGGCTTTAGGGTTTAGGGTTTAGGGTTGAAGAGCACCACTTCATAATTAGTACTATCGTACTAGAAAATCCACCACGCCCGCTTATTCTAAGAATCAAGGCCCCTGTGCCAGTTAGCGATTCTGATCTCCGTGAGTTTCCTTTCCGAGACTAGACGTTTCAGGTTCAGGGTGTAGCGCTTAGGGTGCTATGACGCTGCAATCCTACCCAAAACCCTAAGCCCCAAAGCCCAAACCCTAAACCCCAAAGCCTAAACCCTAAACCCAAATGCCTAAGCCCAAAACCCTAAGCCCGAGGTTCCTGGTGGATGAAGTGGCGGAAGCCGAACGCACCCAGGACTATTTGGCCAGGGGCTTGGTGAACTGAGGGTTGTCGCGCTCAGTCTGCAGCGGTTTAGGGTTTTGGGTTTTGAGTTTAGGGGTTTTGGGTTTAGGGGTTTAGAGTTTTTATGGGTTTTGGGTTTAGAGTTTTTAGGGGTTTTGGGTTTAGGGGTTTAGAGTTTAGGGGTTTTGGGTTTAGGGTTTAGAGTTTTTAGGGGTTTTGGGTTTAGGGGTTTAGAGTTTTTAATGCAAGTTCGATTACCAGAATAGGGATCTATAGTAAATAATGTGGTTTCTTCATTGTGGCAGCTTAAAGGAATCCCTCAGCAAGAACGAAGTCACGGCATCCTACGGTGTGCCTATAGTCTCCATTGTAGGTATTCTTCGTTTCACCGATTTTACATTTAAGGATCCTGGAAGGCAGCCCTAAAAACGAACTACAAGCGAGACTATAGGCTAAAGGCAAAGTTTAGAGTTGAGGTGTCATTCTCTAGCCTCGAACATGCATCAATTTAAGCCTTGAGCTCCGAGCTCGAACCCTTGCAGCCTGAAGCACTTTTCCCACAAAGAACCCTGGGAACTAATGGCCCTCAGCATGGGTGGGTGGAGAGCGGGTTTAGGGGTCCTGGATGTAACATTCACGTCTCCTCTCAAGAACCCTAAACCCTAAACCCTAAACCCTAAACCCTAAACCCCAAGAACCCCCAAGTCGGTATTCATGTCACGGCTAGCATCACGCGAGCTACCTGTAACTTTCAGGTTCAGACGCCATGCTTGCACCTAGAAGAGTCGATCTTCCGCACACAGCGACATCCTAAACCCTAAACCCTGAACCCTAAACCGTAAACCCTAAACCCTAAACCCTACACATCAAGCATCATCTTCGAACCAGCTGCCCGGGGGGCACGATCTCAAAAAGCTCAGCCTACTTGCTGGATCACTTCTGCTCGTTGCCTACCCTAAACCCTAAACCCTAAACCCTAAACCCTAAACCCCACCCGAAAACCCCCTACACTAACCTTAATCAGCCGCAATCATTAGCTTCAAGGCCTGAAACCCTAAACCGCGAGCCCTACTGCACCCCCCAGCTCTCGGATTCGAGATAGCTTGGTTTAGGTTGCAAACCCCGGAACCGACGGCTCTTCATAAAAGCCTTATGGGCTCTATGAATCTACAGCCCAAAAATCCGAGAGCCCAAAGCCTTAAAGCCCAAGCCCTGAAGCCTAGCTCCGGATCCCGGGAGCCTGAGCCTTCCACCCCAGGCCTTAAAATTCCACAAAGCGTTTGGGCTTAGGGTTTAAAGGGGTTCGGGCTTTGGGACTTAAAGCTTAAAGGGCTACTGGAGGTTCTGCTCATCCACGATATCGACGGCAATTTTGCTTCGTTCACGCACTCTCCGCAGGTGGCAATCCTGGTTTTTCGTTCCTAAATACAACCCCTATCTAAGACGACTACTTCAGGGCTTTAATAATTGGAATAGGGTTTTGGGCTGCTTTACAGTATACTTGTAATAAGAAGCCCGAGCAGTAACATTGGTCATTATCCAGGCGTCTATACTACGGGTTATAATCCGGGGATGTGGCCTCAACCCCTAACCCAACTATGGATGATGTTAGGGTTTCGGGCGTCCCAAAGGTCATCTGCATACGAATCATGTCCCGAACCAAGGGGCCCGGACCGTGGTGGAATCCTGGAAAGTCAAGGTGCCCCAAACCCCAAAAGCCCTAAACCCTAAACCCTAAACCCTAAAGCCTACACCCCAAAAGGAAGCCAACTTTCGGAGCCCTTTAAAGGAAACCCTATAGGTCACTTTACACCAGCCCTCAAAGGAACCCTATAGATCCATTTGAAGGAGCTCTTAATTCCCAAAGCCCCAAACCGTGAACACTAAACCCGTAAACTTGCAAATTGCGGCGCATGATGGAACGAATCCTTCGGGGTGCTAATGGTATGATTATGTTGAGGCTATCTATAAGAGGGCATCATTCCTATCTATTCAAACCCCAAAACTAATTCCCCAAGCTTGTAGTAGTTCAGGGCGTATCAGTTGTGGGGGTTTCTGGTTTAGGTTTGAGTTAGGTTAGGAATAGTATCCCATGATGATCGTCCGGCCCCGAAGACGTTTGGGTTTATGGTTTAACATATGTAGGGGTGCCCTCGTTGTCACATTGGGTCTCATGGGCGTGAATCAACGGTTTCAGTAAGGATTTCTTACATGGTGCCAGGGGGAAAAGGGTTGGATAGTCGGTTTGGGGGTTCGCAAAGTTTGGAAAAGTCTGCCGCCTGCAGTTCCTACATCATTTTGCAAAGAACCGCCAAGACTAAACCCAGCTGGGCGGATTTATGGAAAGTGTCGCCCCGAATTCTTGCACAATTGTCTCTTTTGTTGGGAAGGGGGGGGTGTTTCAAGAAGTTGGGGCTTGCCTTGTTTGTTTTCGGGGATCATTGCAAGAAGGCCCGCAAGGTCGAGGGTTACCCGAACTCTGCACAATCTACCGACAAATCCAGCAAAGTTTAAGGTTGTTGGGTCCTA